AACTGATTAAAACATTAATTAATCTGGTCTACAAGATGTCAATAAAGGGGATAATAATGCCTGCCACAACTTTCCAAGGTGATGTTTGACATTTATTTCACAATTACATATGTAAGCAATGAACCTGCACAAGTGAGAAGCTGCAACTTGAAAATGTTTGTCATTATAGATGCTATAATGAACATTTTAATTTTAAAATAGTTTTATATGTCAACAGTTTTTCTGTCAACAGTCAATAATAACTTTGTCTTTTATGTGAAGACAGACAGGAGCTACAGAGAACAAAGGTCCCCGGCCACATTCAAACCAGAGGCACTGCTGTTTACGTGGTACAAATCTTAGACCCTAGAAAGTCAAAGCTGTACAACAGGTAGTTTGAGTAGGGTTTTTTTTTGCCATTCATCTTTGTTCTCTTCCAAAGAAGTATGACTAACGTCTGATAATCTGACTGCTCGTGTTTCTCCTCCCAAGAGACATCATCTAGAGATGGAAGGCTGGCAAAAACATGAACATAACCGAATTAACTATTATTTAATAATGTAGTGGTTTTTTTGTCATGTTTCACCCAGTGAAAAAAGAGCTTTCATCCAGGAGTCAAGCAGTGTTAAGTGTAACATGTTTGTACCTTTGCTCCCCTTCCCCTCACCCCTCCTGTCTCCCCGCCACCCGTTCTCATTTCCTGGCTGTTTGGTGCTGCGCCTGGGCTAAGTCCCCTTTAGTCTTGTCTGATCTGTTTTAAAAGCATTGCCCAAGGGGGGCCTCTCTCTTCTCTTACTTGCACACTTCCCTCTCTCTCTCTCTGTCTTTTTCTTTCCCGCTCTTGTTGTTTTCCCAGAGGCATATAGTGGCTAACCACCGTGACAAGTCTGCCACCACTGTCGGAGAAAATCAACACTAAAATACATGCTTAAATTCAGCCTTAATCACGCAAGTCGAGTCTACTGAAATAAAAATAGCTCTGGCTAAAAACAAATTGGCACAAAAAACAGGGTTGCTGTTTGTTGTGGAACTGAAACCAAAGTTACCACCAAAACCCCACTGGCTACAGAAATGACAGGGAAAGCACTGCCCCTTATTGCCTCTCCTTAGAGCCATCCTTCTTTTCCGTCCTCTCTAATTGTATAGCAGAGCTGACCTGGCCAGCCCACATCTGGCAGCCTTCCTTAGAGACCCTGTTCATTTAGGAGCATTACGGACACAGCCCCTGGCAAAGACCCAGCTCCTCCAGGGACCAACACTTGTGTGCATGTGTCTTGAGTCATAGCGGCTCTAATGACTTTTGCCACTGCACACTTTACAAGTTTGGGACCACTTTAAGGCTTTACAGGTGTCTGAAGGTGCAACTGGACCTTCAGGTTGTTACTGTACACAGAGACAAGCCCATATGTCACCCTGTCAGTCCTCACCTGCCCAAATCTCCCCCATATATCCAGACCAAGATCAAGCTGTTAGAAGGAGTCACGTTTTCATGTGCTCTACTTACATTTATTTTGAGAGTTAGCCAAACTACACAATGAACAGCTGGCTGTTAAATGTAACTGTTAAACACAAATCACACACCGGTGTGCGTGCATTCGGCCAGGGATGTTTTTATTTGCTGTAATTCCACTCTGTAGATTTTTTTATATTTAAAATAGTGTATTTTTGCAGTTCAAAAAAGCTAACAAGTGGTAAGTGTGACGATCAACAAACCACCTAGCTTTAGCCGTCTGTGGAAAGAGAATATTTCAAATATTGTCTAATATCACTTCTTGTATTATTTTTATATATTTATAGTTTTTTACAGTACAGTACTAACCCCAGAGATAAATAATAAAAGGGTCCATCTGGCACTTTACAGACAATACTAGCTGAAACACTGACGCATGGATAAGTGATGAAGCTTAAAACTCTTGAAGGAGTAGTGATTTTCCCCTGTGTAATATCCTGGCTGGTAGCAGTCTTACAGTTTGCATTG